AAGGTAAGGGAACCACCAGACCACTCTGTCAAGCTACACTGCCTCACTCTCCAAATCTCAGTATCCCCAGCTCTGCACTAACCATTCCTATTGCTCACTGGCTTGCTAAATGGAGCAAGAAGTAGAATCAGCTGAATCCATACGGAAGGTAAAGGCACACTTCGGCAAGCAGTCACTGTTTGATCCACTGACAGCTAAGAAACAAATGGCACCGAGGCTATTGATTGTGCTAGCCAAACCCAGAAGGTTTCACTTTCTCAGTGTTACCTTTCGACTCAAGAGCAGAACGTTTCTTGGGAGGCAGACAAATAAATTTTTAAAAAGTTATTTTTTACATGCAAAGTAGAGGGGCTCTTCCAGAAATCAAAAACCCCACAGTACCTATTTCAGATTAATGACTAAACACTTTAATATTGGTATCTTTCAACTGCAATCATGGCATTGCCACTGATGATGTGAAAGATTAGGTCTTTGGGATTTGTTTTTTCCCAGTTTAGGGAATAACTAGTTTAACATAGCTGTGACAACAGTGTTCTCTAAGACTCAAACCTTCGACAACTTGAGTATCACCAAGAAAACTGCAAATTCAAATGCACAGAAGCCGTTTTTCCTTTTCCCCAGGTAAGAATAATCCGAGCAGTTCCAAGACACTTACCCGTGCACATAAAACAGCGTGTAAAGCTTCTTTGCATCAGTCATACAGCTTCGAGTTACAGAAAGAACCCCATTGGGCCCTACTGTTAGGGGCTCAAGTGCTGGGTTTCCAGACTCAACAAGCTGAGAAAACAGACGTTCCACACTACGACGACAGCCAACACACGGGACCAGCTGAGAAAGTGCACTCAAAACTTCACGCGATGTCACCATCATTGCAATATTTAGATCCTGCTGTTTAAGCATGCTATGTCTCTAAAAAAGAGTAAGACATGAAATAATTTTTTTAAAAACCTCACATCTTAAACTGCTCAAGAATCTTTTGCCTTCAACAGCATTTCCTTATCAAAATATTTTGTGGAAACTGCATGCACTGCTCAGAGTTTCAGGTCACTGTCTTACTGCAGATCATTTAAAATACACACTGTATGAACAAAACCACACTTGCTAAGATCATAGGAGCAATTCTACTTCAAGCCTTACAGCCTACCCCCTGGAAGGACGCTAATGCTTTTCTTCTCTTGTTCCCTACTTCTACCACTCTAATCAGCAAATGCTACTCCCAACATGGCACACCTCTCCCTGTCTTTATCAGGGAGCCCTTTTTTCTCCACCTCGGCACAGAAATTTTCATGAAGGGTCTCACATCCAACTCTGCAAGTTCTCATTTTCTACTCACACTCATTTTATCTTTGGCACATAGAAACAAAATTCCTGGATGCTTACTGGCATATATGGAAATCTCATTTACAACAAACTTGTGCTGTTCAGACCAAGACAATTTAGCAGTATTTTTCCTGGAAGGCTAAAGGTCATTTCACATTACAGTTCTAATACCTGAAGTTTCAAAAAACACACATTACTATCCAGAGTGAAACACTTCACTTCAGTGGCGAACACTTAATGTGTGCTAATAATAGAACCTTAAAGAGAACACCTTCTAATATTTATTATGCAAATAAACAATTTTAGGAGCTTCTGCTGTTCCTCTGTCAAACACCTCCAGGCATACAGACACAAAAAGCCCATACTCTTCTGTTTCTTCTTCTAACTGCAAAATTACTGGCTTGGACTTCATCAACACTGAACTGCCACTAATGCAGCTAGAGAAGAGTTCCTTCCTCACACACCAATCAAGGCATCTACACCGAGATTATCAGCACTACTGGCTCTTTCCAACATAATCTGTTAACATGGAGTCCTGTCAACATATTAACTGTCATTTTCCCCTGGTTATATAAAGGACAGCTTTGTAAGCATAGTTGTATCTATAGGAGGACTATTTTGCCACGATAGCATCTGCTGTATTACTGTTGTATCACAGCACTGAAATACTCCACCTGTAGAAAAGATATGTCACAACTTCTGGGGAGACAAAGAAAAGACCATACAACATAGTGAAACTAAGCAAATCGCATAGAACGTGTTAATACGTTAATTGAAAAAAGTATTTTCAGCTGATTTTAAGTAATACATGTTATGAACAGTAAAGCTATCAGATAATATTTAAGGTTTGTGCTCTCAAAGGCAGGCACATTAAATAATCTGACAAGTGATATCACTGCAATAATCCTCTTTCCTTTAATTAATAATACTAGTTATGTCAACAGCACCAACGAGCTACTTTCCCAACACAGCTATGCTTTATATACAGCATGTGTCTGAACTGCTGCTGTCAAACCACACTTGAGCTGTCTGAGCTGCACATCAGCACACTGGCCTCTTCCTTCAGACATCAAGTGGCACAATATTTTATATGCTAGAAGTGCCACGGTTATTTGCCAGTGTTAGCAGATAAATTTCTATAACTAAAGCTTCAGGGACACCTCACAACTGTCTCTCACTATTCAACTCTATATAAGCTAAGCTGTCTATATAAGCTAAGCTGGCCCATTAATTCCATCTTGGCATGGTACTAACCGTAAGAACTCTTATCTATTGAACAATGCACACTTCCACTTGAAAAACAGTTAAAAAGTACTTAAAAAGGAATAAAAATCTAAATGTACTTAGAAATGGTAGTTTCCATTAGGTATAAAGTGGCAGTGACCAGAAATTCACTGCTATTACAAGTTTCCAGTTCTAACTAGATAGGCAGCACTTGCTGCCTGACAAGACAACAGTGTCGAAATGCTGTTGAATATAGACAATGACTGCACCCGCTGCACCTTGGTACCAAGAGGTAACTGCATATAGGTGCTGACACATCATTCAGGTCATTCCAGGAGCGACCACCTCCTAGAGAAGCAAAAGCACAAACCTAGGGAAAGCAAGATCTGATACATCGCCTTCTTCAAAGGCAGAAGGATGTATTTACCTGAATGAACTGTTTTAATTGTGCACTGTTATTCTGATGTCCATCAAGGTTTAGCACGTTATCAGGAAATTCCATCACCATCTATACAAGAGAAAAAAAAAGCTTTCATAAAAAAAGTCAAACACAGAGCATTAGATTATTTTGCTTTCTCGGGGGAAATAAATTATGGCTTTCAGTATTTCTATTACACTATCTGCATGACTTGAGACCCTGTTTCAGTTTAAAATAAACCCTGCACTTCAACACACCAAGAACCAAATTGATCCAACAGCCTAACTCAATTTATAAAGCTATGAAAAAACAGTCACAACAGTTTAATGACTAAGTCAACTCCTTCAAAGGCTAATTTAAAACCATATTAACCCAACAAGGTACTCCAAAGTATACTTCGTTTTGTATGATTGCAGCTGCAACTCTCAAGAGGCTCAAAGTAAAATGTTAAACCTACAGAACAATGTGATAACTTGTAAGTAATTAATAATATCTCTTTTCCAATTACAGAGCAACAAAGAGGGCTATTTCTTTGAGAAGGGTGGATGGGGGAATCAGTAAAATAGTTTTTATTCAATAGTTTTTATTTTTTTAGTCAAAAACTCAACTTTACAACCATGGAGAAAAATGAAGCCAACTAAAAAAAAAAAAAAGTAAAGACTGGCTTAGTTGGTCTTAGTTGTCCAAATTGAGAAATACAGAATTTAATCAATATGAATACCTGAAAGTTCACTTTAAAATCTGAAAGACAAAAATCACAAGTTTGGTTAATAACTAACACCTATCAACACCAAACGAAATTGTTTGATTCTTCCTTTTTCCTCTCCGCACCTTCCCTCAACTGTCTTGTAAAGACAGAATTCCCTGCTGTCTTCATAACTGCTGACACTACCTCCAGAGAACTCCTACATTTACTTTTACAAGATACTCAACATCACTCCAAAATAAACATCTATTCTCTAAGGCCAGAAAGCATGGCAGTATTTTGCTTTCACATGTGCTGGAATTGGAACATTAGCACAGCTGCCTTTGTGCAGGACAGGGCCACAGCCTGCTAAATCTGAGCTCTCCTGCATTTCTTCTCCAGTTGCCCTTGCCCCTGACCCTTGCACATTAAGCAGCAGCACAAGTTTGTGCTGCAGAAACACAGGTTTCCTACATTGCTAAATTGGTGTTTGTGTGGGGAACGAGCTACACACAAAAGTAAAAGTTCCATCTGCTAATAACAGAGAGAAGAGATAAATCTGCCTATTTTTTCCCCCTCACCTTCATCCCCCACTACCAGACACCACCCTTAGGTGTTTTGTACAACAGAGTGAAACTATCAAAGACTAAATTCATTCATGTGTCTGATGAGATTTTATTAAGTGGTTCAACATCAACCACCATCACACCCTGAACTGGAAGAAAAAATTCCATAATACCACATCAAATGGAATGCCTTCTAGAAGTCATAAAAGCTTCTTAAGAAATTAAAGGGGTTAAATATTTAAGCTTCCTTTAATTTCTAGTTGAGCCATAAGAAACAGAAAAGTGTGTTAGCGAACAATTCCTTTAGAGGAGCAGTATCCCACTGCACCTCAACAGCTTTCTATGCTACTACAAAGCAATGGTACAAGATTAAGAGCATTACAGGCCACTTGTTCCCTAATTTGCAATCACTGAATCACTATTTTTAGATTTAAGGCACAGATTAAACCTTCCAGCTGACTGACAGAAATCAACACCACTATTTTTTTTTTTAAAGATAATGCTGCAGTTGTAAAATTAATTGTGTTTCAAAGACAACTGCATGTCTTGCCACAGATGTCATGAAGAATTTGGAACACAAATTACATAAGACTGAGACAAGGAAACTAAGAGTTCATTCACTTGCTTCTGGAGATTTATTTAATGAAACCCTCAAGAAACCACCTAGAAATCTGAGTACTCAGTAACAACAGTAACAGAATGGTGGGGGGAGGGGTGGGAGGACCCAAGGTAAGGTTTCTTCATGGTGAGGATGACTTGCACTTGCATAAATGCCTTTCATCCAGACGGACACAAAACTGATTTACAGCTATAGGACACTCTTCAACCATGAGTTTGTCTCCGTTGTAAGCAGAAGGACAGCAACAACAGAGTGCAATCGCACAAAGTTTACGCCTGGCGTTAAATTCTGGAACTAAACCACAAGAGGAATTTTAGGTCACTTGAAGCCATCTACCTGATGCTCAGTATAACTGAATTTCCACTCTCTCAACCTATTAAACACCACAAAGGTAACAAGAGCATAGTAAGTCTTCGACGTGACACCATCTAATGAGTAATTTTCACTAAGGAGTCTGGGGCAGGGAGGAGGAGGAAAGCGCAAAACCTAAGATCTTAAAACTACATGGGGAATGTAGGGGCGAAATAATTTTAAAGGCATGGCCAAGACATCAAAAAAACCCAAAACTTATGTTATTCCTACACAGTGCTGTGTCTTCGAGGTAATCAAGCACTCTAGGAGAACTAGATACTGCTTTGGACAACTTATGGGGAAACTCTGCCTCACGTGTGAACACAGTTAACCAGACTGTGTAAAGCCAGAAAACAGTGATGATAGCTGGCTAATTAATAACATGCCATCATTTAAAATGATCAAAACTAATATACGGCAAAGACTCTTTCTTCAAACTTCGCAAACCCAGATGGGACTGAGATAAGCAAGATAAATAAGATTGAGGTAACAGTGGGATTATTGTGGACTTCAGGACTGTCTGAAGATACACAACTGTTTTGCTTTGGAAGATGGAAGAAACGGCGTTACAAAGCTGATCAAGTTTGTCAGATTTGTGTCAGCTTTCTCCCATACTCAAACATGACATTAGGAATTTAAAGCACATACATTTAACACCATTTAAAGTAACAGCTGTTACTGTCACACCACTGACAGCAACAGCAATCAAAGATGAATAATTAAGATACCCAATTACACTATTTAAGTCCGATTTTCTTTTTAACCCAACATTTTCACACCTTAATAATTACAAGAAATGACAACTAGCTAGTAAGAGATTCCCCCCCCCCCAACAACATTTTCACACCTTAATAATTAAAAGAAATGACAACTGGCTAGTAAGAGATTTCCCCCCCCCCCTATTTGCTCTGTGTTCACCTACAATACAATTTCTGAGCCTGTCTCTAGGCACTTGAGGAAGAGTGACTCGAGAGCCTCCAAGCTACATTTAGTTCATTTTTCCACTGAATCTTCTGGAAATGACAGAACTCCCATGTTTTTTGATCCAGAATAATACACGGAAATTGAAACTCTGTCAGATTTGTTGTTGCAGATACAGTTGCACATTATTACACACCTGATCGCCCTTACTTTAAGCCAAAGCTATCAAAAATACCTTTGGCATTTTCTTGCCTATTTAAAGGCATGATTAGTAATTACCTAGTCATGAACCCGGGGTTTAACGTTAACATGGCTCCCTTCCTTATTAACTGAAAAATGGCTTTGCTCCACATTTGGGCTTGGGCATCTAGACAAGCTTGCCACTTGAGAATAAGTTACGTACAGGCCCCAGTACAGCAATAACTTTCTTATTATGCGGTTTGCATGTTTTTAGAGCTGGGAATCAGATAAAGAAGTTGCCACATCAAGTGCTGTTAACCCGAAGCGTTGCAAAGTCCCCAAGATTAAGGCTGCAGGAGCCAAGGAGGAGCCTAGCAGGCCCGTCGAGGGAAAAGGCCTCGCCTGGGAATTGCAACACCCCGCCCGCACACGCTGCGAGCG